TCTTACCTTAAAACAATATGTCAATGCCAAAACCATCTGAGGAAGTGAAGTTCAAGAAATGAATCGCCATGACAATTATTGCTAACCTCTAAGACAACAATTTTGCAATCTCATTTATGGACACTGTGACTTGAGTTCTTTGTAAAACTTATTTGTGGTGCATCTCATTCAATGCACTCTTTAGGTACCTGCACTGTCACTGTCAATTTTTTAATGTAATTAATTCTTAGTAAGTCAGTACTGATAATTGCATTTCCCTCACACAGGTGTCAGGCTTTCTGGCTCAGGTTTCAAGCATCTCAGAGATAATATCAAGGGATCAGATGAAGGTGGCATTCTTTGGACGAACCAGCAATGGAAAGAGCACTACAGTAAATGCCGTGCTACAAGATAAGATCTTACCAATGGGAATTGGTCATACGACAAGCTGTTTCCTTAGTATACATGGCTCAGATGAACCAGATCCATATATCTTGGTTCCTGGGAGTATTGACAAAAAGAAAGTGGAGGTATGTTTTGTTGAAAAGTATTGAAAGTTTCTCCTTTGTAATAATTATATGTATCACACATTCTTGATTGAAGATTGTTGCAATTCTCCTTCTTAATAATTATTATATGTATCACATTTTCTTGATTGGGCGACCAGTGCATTTATTTCAAACTTGGCTTGGTGAACTTGGTGTTTATAAGCATCAGGATGGTGTTTTAACCCAGTGAGCTCCACACCTTAGAGCTCAGACCACCCCCTGAAATTCCAGAGAAAATGGCTGCCACAGTGAACACACAGACCACTGCCAAAATAATTTAAAATTTTAATGTCTTCATTTCACTCTACTGAAGGGAAACTGCACAAAGTTGCATATTAAATAATATACTTTCCCCCTGTCAAATTTTATTTTCCATTTGAGCATCAGGCTCTCTCAAAAAAATTCTAAAGCTAGAGAACGGATTCAACTTCATGATGTACAGCGAGTCATTTGCAAGGTTGCCTTCAGCTTTGAAAGTATTTATCAGTATGATGACTCTCTTTTGCACTCTTATTCCATCAGAATCATGAAAAAGCTTTCCCTCAAATACAACACCAAAAGACAGATGGCAAATTTCTCCTCAACAAAAGGAATCCTAAACTTTCTAACGCGGGTCAATTTTGAATTTGCCCACCATAGCGACATCGCGACACGTCACAAGGCGCAGCTATAAAATTACTTTTTGCAAGTCATGAGCAAGAACAAACCAATTTTTACGCCTAAATGAAAAGTTTCACTTTGAACAATGCATATATGTTCTTCGCTTAGGCAAACTTTTGCTCCAAGCGAGTTACAAAAAAAAAAAATCGCACAGTAAACGTGTAATAGTGAGTTTGGTCTCAAACAAAAGGTTATTTTTTGCATGTCACGTTTCACTGCTTTTCAATACCCAGGGGAGTTTTGTTTCTAAGCTACAGCCAATCAAAACAAGCCATTTCTGACAGGGCGCATGAGGTCGCATTGGAATTTCAGAGGGGTTTTATTTCTGGGCGCATGAGGGCGCATCAGATGTCAATGGGTTAATCTGGGATGTGTGTCAACTTTTCATAATAACTGTACTTCAAGACTACAGGTAGTTGGTAGGAAAACAGCATTTTTTTCTCCGTCAAACTGTCACCTAGTCTTAGCAGGGATATATGAATAAAGGGGTAAGTTTCTAAAGAAACTGTGGTGCTGCGTCAGTGGGAGAGTATAGTAGGTAATTTAGTGTTAACAACTGGGTTGAAAACGTAAATTAGCCACTGTTAAGGCTGAAAAAGCTGACGTTCGAAACGTTAGCTTTTTTACCCTTTATGGTGGCTAATTTACGTTTTCAACCCAGTTGTTAACACCAAATAACCTGCTTAGCAGGGATATATATTTTTCTTACAAACATTTTATGTTTAAAGTATGATTTACAGTTAATAAATGGTATTTGATTTTTAAAGCCTGACAGTGGATAAAGGTGTTAACTTCAATCAATTACCCCTACTGTTTAATTCTAAACTAACAGTATTTCTCTGGTGTTTATATGGTTTTAACGATTAATTTTGGTTTGACATTTCATTTAGAAAATATCACTGGTACTTAAATTATCTAAAAGCAGAAAAATCCTGTAATATGTAAAATAGATTAAATAGTACTCCAATTGATATATCAGGGCGTGAAATTAACTTTTTTTTCTGATAGCCACTTGGCTCCTAAATTCTTCAAAGTGGTAGCCAATTCAAAAAAAGTTGGTCGCCTTTTCCAAAGACAAACAAAATCTTCTTTATGCTGTCAGCGTTCTAGATAGACCCTCCAAAATTAAGTTAGGGAAAAGATCGTTAACGTGCTACAAAGTAGACACTAGGATGTATGATATACAACGTTCAGGCTCATCTAAATCCAAGATGGCGTCTAGTTATCGATCGAGATGCATGTGCAATGTTTTGGAAACAAACTTAACGAGGAAGTTTGCCACGGATTTATCTCTGCAAATTTATTTAATTCACTATATCTCTTGGTAAGGTTATGATGAAACGTTGTAGTCGCCAATTTGGCGACTAACTTTCAGGATTTGGTCGCCAAAGTGAAAAATTTAGTCGCATTGGCGCCTGTATTAGGTGCAATTTCACGCCCTGTATATGCACTATGTAAGTTAATGAATAGCTAGTAATCATAATAATAATTTTTATTTTGTATTTTTCTTTTTGTTATCAAAACAGTCACTAGATGAACTTGCTGATGCCTTATCCCAAGAAAAGCTAGATCATAGCAGTCTTGTTCAAGTGTTTTGGCCAAAGTCCAGGTTTGATTTTGTTTTGTAACTATTGTATCATTCACATGTACTCAAAGGTAACTGTTGTCCTGTCAATCAAAGAACATTTACCATTCAACCTTGCAAACTTTATCAGTTGTAAAGGTAGAATGTTGTGCCCTTTGTTGTACATGAATTGTACTGGTCCAGGTTTACTCCAAAAAGGTTAAATTTGTCAAAACTTTTTGGCTTCAAATTAATTCTGTTATTATGCATTAGACTTATGAAAGATCTGATTAGTCAAGAGCATTCAATCAATATGCGAAAGCAGAGGAAGTCGACAGGATAACCCAATATCTGCGGCAGACGTTGCATTTACCATTTGGAGTTCAAAGTCTGCCTAGTTTTCAAGCCCTTACTCCATGAAGTGTTCTTAAACTTTTTTGCAGTCCCAGAGTGATGTGTCTTCTTTTCCAGATTATTTTTTTTTAATTTGTATTAAAACAATTACTGAATTCATTCCTTTGATATCATAAATTATTTAGCATCATATCTTTGTAATCTGCCTCAGCCTTCAGTTATGTCAGAAAATACAGAACTCGGCTCTGATAGTTCAAGTTATAGTTAATAAACATAGAGTTAAGTATAAAGCTGTGTTATTGGTTTTTCAATGAGTGTCTTATAAACAAAGGAAATGTACTTGTAGTGTTGAAAAGCTCTTGGATAGGCTGCCTCTTGTCTCTTAAAAAGATATGAAAAACTTCCTAAACACAGTTCACATGTTCTGGATAATGCATTTCACATTAGATCAGAGGGTTTTTGAAAATAGAGTTTTACCTGTACATTGTTATTCACTTGTGATGGTTTCATTTTTGTTAAAATTGTATTTTTTTTTTTAACCTCAGATGTAATATCTTATCAGAGGATGTTGTTTTGGTGGATAGGTAAGCAAAATACAAGTGATGAAATGTACTGTATAATTAACCTTTTCACCCCTCAATTACACATTAAGATCCCAAGAATAAAAGAAATGATCACCAACTATAGACACTCTTGACTGTTAGGTAAATTGTCTTTGTCTGCATTTAGGGGAATGTTTAGAGATCAGTACAGAGAATATGCATATACTAATGTTAGTTTGTGAAGGTTTAAGAAACACAAAAGGACAAAAGAACTAGAAAACAGTGAAAACCATAAGTTAATGAGGCATTGCTCTATTGTGACATGTCCAGTGTCTTCTGCACCAAGAAGAAGCCTAAAAATGCTGTCTAAATAATCACAGACAATTGTTATTGTAGTCCTGGTATAGATGTGAGCCCTGATCTTGATCTATGGATTGATGAGCATTGTTTGGATGCTGATGTGTTTGTCCTGGTTGCTAATGCTGAATCAACCCTCATGGTTACGGTATGCTCATGACCATTCATGTGCTATATTTAAATTTAAGATACAACACAAGCAAACTTTAAATTTGATTGAATATTTTTGCTTTAAAATGCAACTTGTTACCCCCTTTGCTTGTGGGGTAATTTCTCATTTAGTACCCTTGTCATTGTCAGGAGAAAAACTTTTTTCACAAAGTGAATCAGCGTCTTTCAAGACCAAACATCTTCATTCTAAATAACAGATGGGATGCATCTGCATCAGAACCTGATAGGATGGAGCAGGTAAGTAAGCACTTGTTTGTCCTTGATACCCATTCAAATTTGAAATCAGAAGATGTCAAAAATGAAATAAAAACATAAAAGAAGTTGCCTGTCATTTCAGATGCTCACTTCATAGGAAATTGTTGCCATGAAAAAAAGTACAGATTCATAGTGGGGGGGAGGGGGAAGGGGGGCTTAGATAGAGGGGAAGGATTAAGGTATGATGATGGGTGGGATAACAAACCATTTATCCCACCTCCCCTCCCCCTGGACAACAACCCCTTCTCCCCTCCACTATTAGATGATGGTGATAAAGTGTGATTTTGTATTTTTTTTTCCTGTTTCCTTTAGGTGAAAGATCAACATCTCAGTAGAAACATCGGTTTTCTTGTTGACGAGCTCCAGTGTGAAGACAAAGGACAGGCAAAAGACAGAGTTTTTTTTGTCTCAGCTAAAGAGGTAAGCTGCTGGATATTTTATATTGGGGTTTATAAGGACCAACTGCAAATAACTGAACAATTCTTCAAGTTTTTGTTACTTCTGTGGAAAGAGACATTTGATACAGGACACACCTCTCAACAGGGCTCAAAATTGTGACTGATACGATTCTGTCATAAGGAACTGCCTTTCAAAGCATATGCTTTCTTTCACCATGTGCTCAATCACATAAGATGAGTCTACACTGAAGGTCATGAATTATTTATCACAAGAGAAGAATACACTGTCTAAAGTAACCCTGAAATGTTCGTATTACTTTGTTTGCTTACTGCTTACAGTAAGATTGTCATGCAGAAGTCTTCTGGAGTTTTTTCTTTCGTGTTTTCATGTTTTAAGTCATTCAAGATCAAGTATTTCGGTCTGTCCCACAACCACAGCCACAATCTACCAGAAGCCAAACAACAATACCAATTAAATGAGGCTCTAATCTGAGTTCCTGTTCTTGTACTATTTGGTGACTGCATTTTTGCATTTGGCAACCATTTTTTCTTTGATAGTTGCCAAGAGGTGACTTGGAATTTTTTTTAATTTCGAGCCTTGCTTATTTGATTAATTTGTTTCCCGGCCGCTTTCTTTTCATGTTCCTGTTTTACCTAGACCCTATCGAACAGAATGAAGAAATCCCAAGGAATGCGTCAAGGAGGTATGTGGCTGATCAAAATGTGCATTCTCTTAAAACAGCATGAATAACTTGTTAACAAGTAAGATTTTTACATTACACCAAGTAACTAGCATTACTACCATAAACATCCATGTATAAGCTGCGTCTATAGAGAAGCCGCACCCCTGATTTGGAAGCGCAGAATTTAGAAAAAAATAAAAACAATACACCATCTTTAACTTAAAATGCTCTTTTGATCCGATTTTTCAAGATTATCACTTCGAAACATGCCATAAAGTTGAAATTCCTTCAGCATTGAAGAAAAACAAACAAACAAGTGCTTAGTAGCCAAGCTTTGAATGTCAGGAGGAGTCTGGGCCACGGCCTGGCCATTGTCTGGGCATAAGCAGAAAGCACCTGCACTGATGCAATCATTTCAGTTCCTATTTCAGTAATTAATATAACAATACTTCAGGTAATTTATAAAAGATGCTACTGTTCTTCACGTTCTTCCAGTGAATCTGATAAAGTCAGTGTTTATCCTTTATCGGGTAAAGAGAAAAGTAATCGCTTGAAAGAACTCTTGGAGAGCAAGATTCACCGATAAACACTCGAAGACACAAACAGCTCCTTTAGGAGCCACCACTCAATGAAAAAGTCAATGAACTACAACAACACGCTCTCAGTTTCTTTTATGTTTATTTCTTGGCATCTTAAGAAGTTTTAAGAATATTAATTAGGTTTTTGAGAACTCCAAACACTGATGTATCCATGGATAAGCCACACCCTTGATTTCTGGCTTCAATTTTGTGAAAAAAAAGTGCAGCTTATACATGGATGTTTACAGTGTGTTGTTTTTCAGGTGGTGCCATTTATGTTGAAGGATTTGGTGCTCGACAGTTGGAGTTTGAGAACTTTGAATGGAAATTGAAGGTAATGTAGCAGCTCATCAGGCTTGTAATCCAGCATAGTTTTCAGATAGCCACTTGTCTGTCAGCAGATCACTTAGGAACCAAAATATGGCGAAAAATAATGTGGAATTCAATGGCATTGTTACTCAAGGATTACATAATTGCTAGTGGTAATTTCTCACTAAAGCTAGATACAGGTAATTTACCACTGCCGTTTAGACCTTTAACTGCCATCCGTTTAGCATGTAAAGGGGCCTTCTGACCCTGCTACCTTAAATACCATTGGCAGCTGCTCATGGAAAAGGTTATTGAAATCCCTGGGTCTGTTGTGTGTTAGATCATTGGTAAGAACTAATCAAAGATTGTTACCACAGAGTCGTGATGTATTTGTACATTTACTTTTTTCATTTAAAGTTAAACACATTTGCTTGTTTAGAGTTTGTGTCAATTAATTATTCTGACTTTGCAAAAGAAATGTTACATGCTTGATTTTATAGGAGTGTATTTCTAAGTCAGCCATAAAAACCAAGTTTGAATCTCATGCAGTCAGTGGATTGAAAATTGCAAAGAAATTAAAGATTCTTATGGAACAAAGAGTGGGTTGTGCGTCTCAGCAAAGGTGAGAAAGAGACAGATAATTTTTTTCATTTTGCTTTATGAAGGTGATTTTACTTAATTGTCGGTTCTGCTGAGTTCATATGGTCTATTTTGCTCAGATCCACACAGGAGAAAGCCAAGAAAGAGCAAGAGAATAGACTGAAGTTTGTGAAGGAACAGCTTGAAATCAGTACACGTGAGATAAAATGCCTGATCAAAGAGATCACTTCTAAAGTTGAGGATCAGGTAATAAAATAATTACTCTCATACTCTTTAGGGGGGCATAAGTTCAAAACTTGTGATTTATTCAGTCTTGAATCTCAGTAATTTCAAGTTTTTCTCAATGTAAGGGTCCAGAATAGATTAAGAAGTATGTAATCAAATGGATGACTTTTTTTGACATGCTTCTTAGATGCTTGTCAGGTGCCTTTGATGTAAATCAAATTTACTTTGAAGTGAGTGGTAAAATCTTATCAAGAGTTTGCCCTAATTTTACTACTGTAGTGCCTGGGTACACACAGACATGCACCTAATTTGTAATAAGTATGATAAAGTAGTATGGATGAACACAAATCAGAACACAATCTTAAAGAACTAAACTGTCAGAGCTTTTCGCAATTTCTACACGTAGAGTATTGCTACTGCCCCCTGAAATGGGAAGTCAGTCTATCCCATGTTACCCGTCCCCCACCCTGACAGCAGTTCTTCATATCTTCCCGATCCCGTGTTTGTATTCATTTTTTATTCTTAGGGCCTTTCCGCACAAGCGGACAAAACTAGAATTGTCCCGAAAAAATCAAAGGACAAATTTTGTCAAATTTCAAAGCCTTCAGATTCCGTCAGCGCCTGACCTGTTCACAAGACCGGCCAGCATAGTTGCCAAAAGATTCCACCTCCAATTTCCAGGACTTATTCTAAGTTGTTTTAAAATTTTAGAATCCTTGAGTATTGCATCAAAAGGCAATTTGTGCCCTTCTAGTTACTGATTTCAGTTCAATAACGCGCTGGTCCTAGCTTTTACGACAAATGATCGACACGTTTATTACGGTTTTGTTTATTCGGTCGATTTTGTCCAGCTTTTACATGGGACAAATTTTTTCGGCGATACATCAGAAGATTTGTTCCCTTCGGCCAGTGAGAAAGTCTGATGTTGCTTACTCAACAAAATGTTTTCCTTTCTTTAGGTGACTGAGGCTATGACAGAAGAGATTGGT